TAAAATACTGAAAGAACTATTACCTGTAGTGGAAGAGCCTCTCCTCAATATTATTAACTCGTCTTTATCTTTAGGTCATGTCCCAAAAATATACAAGCTGGCTGTAATAAAACCGCTCATTAAGAAACCGCAATTAGATCCAAATAACTTGGCAAATTACAGACCCATTTCAAATCTTCCATTTATGTCCAAAATACTTGAAAAAGTAGTGTCCGCTCAATTGTGCTCTTTTTTGCAAGAAAATGATATCTATGAAAAATTCCAGTCAGGATTCAGACCGCATCATAGTACAGAAACTGCGCTAGTTAAAATTACAAATGATTTACTTTTAGCTTCTGACCAAGGCTGTATCTCAATACTAGTCCTACTTGATCTTAGCGCTGCGTTCGACACTATAGATCATATAATACTCTTGGATCGACTACAAAACTTCACCGGTGTCCAGGGACAGGCATTAAGCTGGTTTAGATCGTACTTATCGGACCGTTCTCATTTTGTCTGTTTAAATGGGAAAAAATCAAAGATAACGTCAGTAGACTATGAAGTACCGCAAGGATCGGTTTTAGGCCCTCTGCTATTCTCAATATATATGCTGCCACTTGGTAATATTATAAGAAAACATGGAATTAATTTCCACTGTTACGCTGACGACACTCAATTATATATTTCATCACGACCAGATGAAAACACTAACTCATCTAAAATGACAGAGTGTCTCAAAGATATAAAATGCTGGATGACGCGTAATTTCCTGCTATTAAATTCAGATAAAACGGAGGTATTACTTATTGGTCCAAAAAACTACTCACAAAACCTCTCACAATACAACTTTAATATAGACGGATGTCCTGTTACCTTATCCACTACAGTAAAAGACCTGGGTGTTATACTAGACCGCAACTTGTCTTTCGAAGATCATATTTCATATGTTACAAGAACAGCCTTTTTCCACCTTAGAGACATTGCTAAGCTACGTAACATGCTATCTGTTTCTGATGCTGAAAAATTAGTTCATGCATTCATGACCTCGAGACTAGATTACTGTAATGCTTTATTAGCCGGTTGTCCTGCATCCTCAATAAACAAGCTACAGTTAGTACAAAATGCAGCTGCTAGAGTTCTTACTAGGTCAAGAAAATATGATCATATAACACCGATTTTATCATCTCTACACTGGTTACCTATTAAGTTCTGCATCAACTACAAAATACTACTACTGACCTATAAAGCCCTAAATGGTTTAGTACCTATGTACTTAACGGACCTTCTTTCGCCCTACAATCCACCGCGTTCCTTAAGATCACTAAATTCAAGGCTTCTGGTCATTCCTAGGATATCGAAGTCCAGTAAAGGAGGGAGGGCGTTCTCGCATTTAGCTCCAAAACTCTGGAATGGCCTTCCCGACACGGTCCGAGCCTCTGACTCGCTGACACAGTTTAAAACTAGATTAAAGACGCTTCTCTTTAGTCAAGCATTCACATAATGCTTACCTTCTAGTCCTCTGTTATGCCATACGGAACCGTTTGCCACTGAAACTGCTTAACGCACCAGTGGGGCTCGACAGCCTTTTAGACAAACGGGTCGGCGCGTATGGTTGGGTTGCGGAGAGTTCAGGTTACGGAGAGTTTGTGAGTTATAACGGAAATCATTATGAACATTAGCTATGCTAATTATTTCCCATCTGCCTTTCTGCTGTTATCTCGGGACGCTTGTCCCGAGAAAAATGGCGTTCGTCAGGTCCAGTTTTGTGTCCAGCCTCTCACGGGGATTTCGGATGCCCCAACGCCTGTGATGAGACGACTCAACGCCTGTGAAGAGACGACTCAACGCCTGCGATATGTTATGGCGCCGTTTGATTCATAAACAATATTTATATTTAATATTTATATTTAAACAATATGAATGTAAGCCAGAGGAGAACTGGCCCCCGACTGAGCCTGGGTTCTCCCAAGGTTTTTTCTCCATCCAATCTGATGGAGTTTGGTTCCTTGCCACTGTCGCCTTGCTTTTGGCTTGCTTTGAGCTTGCTCAGTTGGGGTTATTTAGTGTTTAACAATGTTGTTGATCTGTGTTGTGCTACTTTCATGTTATCACTGTGAAGCTGCTTTGATACAATCTGTATTGTGAAAAGCGCTATATAAATAAATGTGACTTGACTTGACTTTACGAGGTTACTCACCAAGACCAGAGTTTTGACATAATGTCGCGTGTTTTAACTGTTAAAGTGATATAATCCAGGGACAAAACTTTTGTTTCTGGCGAGCTGTTTGTGAGGCAGTGAAAGACATCTCTGAGAGCGCGCGAGCACGGGATGGTTTAACATTGCTTGTAAAACACAAAAAGACTTGAAAATGATAAACGTTAGTTACGATCATAGGTTACGATGCAATGCTGGCCCGATTGTTAAGTGAATATTCCGTCATGTCCCGACTCCTGAACGCGTGTGTGTATCGACAGCTGCAGCGCTTGGCGCTTGCCTAGTGCAGTGAGACGAGAAGACGCCGCACCGCGTCCGCGAGCCCTTTATATGGAAAAAATCGATTTGTGGCCGTTGAGAATCGATTTTGAATCGAACACATTTTAAAAAACGATTAATCGAAAAATCGATTTTTTTGCCCAGCCCTAGTTATTAATAGTGGATACTTTCACGCGCTTTCATGTCCAAATATCTGCCGTTGAAGTGCAGTTTCTGTTCATGTGTGCTGTGTTTGTTAACCCTATATAGCCTACCCTACATAGGCTACAGTTAGGGTGATACACATGACTTAAAAGAAATAAATAAATGTGAAAATAAATAAATGTAGACATAAAAACATAAATATATAAATTAATGTGGAAATAAATAAAAGTGGAAATAAATAAATGAATAAATGTAGAAATAAATAAATAAATAAATGTGTGAAAAAAACACAATTATACATAAATATGGAAATAAAAGTATAAATACTCATTTATTTTTACTTTTTTACATATCTTTGTATATTTAATTATGTATTTATTTTTGTATTTTTGCTTTTTTACATTTCTTCGTATATTTATTTATGTATATATTTATTTTTAATTAAGTCAGCTTTGGCATTCCATATTCGAACTGTGTCACTGTGATGTTCTAACCGTAAGTTCTACCACTCGGCTACGTCTTAACTGAAGGCGAAATGGCCAAACTTTCTCCACTGAGTGTTCGCTCAAATGAGCGAGAAAACGTTTTGTCGTTAACCTATTGTGAGTGTAAGCCTAGTTTACATGAAAAAAGTACACCTTTTACAGTTTTAAAAGATGATTTTATTTTAGCTGTTATGAGAAAAATTCAAGAGAGCACCGCCGCATTTGTCAAACACTAATTAATGCCAGAATAAAACCCGATTTTAGAATAAGCCTACACTCGGCATGGCGTGTCAAAATACTCAATTATAAACTTCAATATTTCGTTCAAAACCACCTCAAAACACTTTGTGGCATTTTAAAAAGCCGTGAATCAATGTATTAAGGCCACTGAAACTGGAATGCGCTCCCCCACCGGCAAATCCTTGCTTAGCTTGGTTATGTTTTTTTTTTTTATTATTCTACATGGAACCCCATTAAGTTTTATTTTCTATTTTTTTTTTTTACATAACTGCTTTTGAATATGTAAATTCAGTCATTCCATTGGAAGAGATTTGTTCCTTAGTGTAAAATGGAAATGCATGGTAATTTTTATTTTATAAATATAAGCAAAAAAACTAAATGGTGTAACATGGTGGAGTTTCAGAACAAATCGTTCTGCATTAATAGCCTAAATATAAAATTCAACTACAGTAATCCATGTTTGATCGAGCTTCGAACCCATGTCAACGTAGTGGTAGAACCTTAAATTCTACCACTCGGCCATGTCTCAACTCACGGTCACGGAGGAGCCCAAAAATTTTTTTTTCCAGTGTGTGTTCGCTCAAATGAGCAAGAAAACGTTTTATCGTTAGCCTATTGTGAGTGTAGGCCTACTTTCCCTGAAAAAAGTAGACCTTTTAAAGTTTTAAAAGATGATTTTATTTTAGCTGTTATGAGAAAAATAAATTCAAGTGAGCACCGCCGCGTTTGTCAAATAATCTTAATTAAGGCCACTGACACTGAAACGCGCTGCATGTTATATCTCAATACAGGATCAGAAGCGCTGGTTCAGATTTTATTATTTGTTGTTTAAACGTGCGTGTTGCATATTTTAACATATATATATATATACAGTATATATATATGTATATACATAGCCTATTTGATATTGTCTATTAAGGCTATAGCATTAATTACTGGAGGGGAAATACCCCACCGGCAAATCGCAAGTTGCTTAGTTTGGTTATGTTTAAAAACAAAAACTCTAAATGGAACCCCATTAAGATTTATTTATTTATTTTTTAACTTAACTGCTTTTGAAGATGTAAATTCAGTCAATCTGTTGGAAGAGATTTGTTCCATAGTGTAAAATGGAAATGCATGGTAATTTTTATATCATGTTTATTCGGGATTTGAAACAGTGTGATCAAAATGATTGAACCTAAGTTCTACCACTCGACCACAACTTTTCTCACTGAAAAAAGGCCCAGAAGTTCGGTTGTTCAGCAGTCAGTGTGCACACGCGAGAGAGAAGCGCTCTTCAGTCTTCTCATTCCTCAATAGCATCATTGAAAGCACCCAATTTATTTTCACTGACTGCGAGATAGGCCTATTTTAACTTTTGATTAATAAAATGTTCTGTTATAAAAGTTTATATTATATTTAAAGCTATATTCTATTTAAAATGTAGGCTACTCTTATATAATTATGTTTTGCTTTCGCTAAATGTCCCTTTGCGCCACCTAGTGGTCATTTCGCGACCGACTTTGAAATACGGCTGGTTTATTTTTGCCGCGGTGGATTTACCGTGGCGGTAAATGGCATTCTGGTTGTCCACCTACTGTACACATGCATTTGTCTTCCTATTTGTAAATCTTATTTCATCTATTAGAGAATACAAAACAATTCTAACCCCACAGCTAACAAAGTTCTCATACCTGTGTTACTCTTTGTACCAAGCAGTCATCAGCATACGTTCCTTTGTGTGAGCAAGGCAAGCGTTCAAAGCGAGGATCTTTGGCAATCCTGCACAAAAAGTTCAAAAAGCCATAAAAAGCAAGGAAGAAAGAGTAGCCATTTTCACAAATGAACTATTTAACTATTTTGCTACCATTCACACATCAGCACAGAAATGCTGTTGAAACTGTGATGATATCAAATTGTAATTTTCGACAAATGACACTGCTGTCCACAATGCGGTTAATCTTATGAACTATTCAGGTAATGTTACTTCTATCTTATCCCACCAAATTGCTGGAGCCAATCTGCAAACATTAAAAAACAGGCCCTGTTCACACATGACTTCTAAACAGAAAAATTACAAAATTACAACATTATGGCAAGTCAAAACCAAGTCAAAATAATGTTTTGAGTAAGTCAGCCATTACTATTATGGTAAATGTTATATATAAATAGCAAATTTTTCACAAATTTTTGGAAATTACCACCACAAAATCAGTCATTTTGATCACAAAAAATAAATAAATCGTGAAATCCTGGAGGGACTGATTGGTTTTTCTAATACACTTAAAGGACAACCAAGGACCACAGGTAAAGTGCACAGCAACAAAAAATACAAATAACTAAAAACTTCCATATCTTTATACATCTATAACTTTGCTTTTTCTGGGATGCTTAGTTAGATTTTATGGGCATTTAGAGAGGAAGAGAGAGTGGGGATAGAGATTATTAGAGCCATTTCTCTCCCAATGCTTATTTCTTAAGCATCAATATTTTGGTACAAAAATTTTGTTTGCAAGAACCCTTGCTAAATTATTTTAAACAGATTAAAGGGTTAGTTTGGTATTTTACACTTAAAGCCACTTAAAGATTGTTTCAGATGAAATAGAACGGTTAAGATTGAAATTTGAACAAAAGATGTTGTCCCGAGAATTGTAGGTTTCTGTTCCCTGGGGCATAGTGTAGCGTCTCGTTTGAAAACACATACTTTATACTGATGTGTTCTGCTGTTTTATATCCATTTTTGAATTGTGTTATGCTTTGTCAGAAAGTGCTGTCATGCAAATCTGTTATTTTGTGTTTGTTTTCATGCAGGCAAATATGCATTCACGCACGCAACTACTTTCACTTTGCGTCAGTTCAATTTTCCAAAGAAAGATGATAATTGGTTGTGCAAAAAACCAAAACATATGTTTATTGGTTGAGTAGGTGATAGTTTCAACCAATCTGGGCATGGGGGTTGGAATAAGCATCAAAAATCATTCCTGTTTGGCTCAGAGGAACAAACCGTATGTTTTTTTTTTGACGAATCAATGCTGATCAAACCTGATGACGAAATCAAATTCACTACGGGGCCACTGAAAGTCCAAATGTGAAAAACACGTTCTTTTTATGAGACTTTTTAAAGCATTCAGATTGGATTAGCAGATCAAAAGTTATTAAACATTTGAGAATAGTTCATTTTAGCCGTGGCAGGCTGTATTGGTCTTTAAGGGTTGAGCAGTTCAAATTTGACATATTAGGCAAATGATTAAGAGTAAATGTGTGCATATATTAAGATGAAACTCATTTTCAAATAGTTAATTTTTGTAATCAAAAATGTATTACTTTCAATTGGTTTGAGCCCTGATGTTCAAGACACTATTTTTTACAAGCATGTAATTTACTAGGGCTGGGTAATAAATATAGATTTCTCGATATTAATCGATTCTCATTTTTACGAACCGAATCGATTAGTCATTCTGTTTCATTTGAATGAATGGAACATTGTATCGCGGCTGCGCACATCCCAAAAAAAAAAAAAATAAAATAAAAAAAAAATAATAATAATAATTCGCAATAATCTTTGTCCTTTGTTACTATTGATATGAAAAAAAGTCTCAATTTTCTAATTACGTCCATTTTCTTTCGAAATTCAAAAACATAAATAACGTTTTGGAGCGGTGGCGTGAGATCGCTATGGCGCAGCTCAAGACAAGCAGCAGCGCTGATCTCTCTCGGCTTAATAATACCAGTCACAGAGCGAAATAATAAACATGAACGAGCATCTGAAAGTGTGTTAATAGATAGAGTACAACTTATCGAAATCCGTACCATGTCACATTGATTCACTCAATCAGCGTTTCAACCGTAGAAAGACGTCAGTTAAACAGCTTGTAATCAATGTCATGTATCGACATATTTACCTCAGAAAACCCACATAAACTCGTTAGTCAGCTAGAAAAAAATAACTCTAGAGAGGAGCATTTTGCTAAATATATACACCATACGCATTATAAACTTAATGTTCTTCAATATTTAATGCATATTTGAATAAATCTGGCAAGTTTTTATGACAGCCACCATTTAAATGTTTATATTTCATATAATCTTCTTATTATAAAAATAAATAATAGTGTAATTTAAGTGTTTGTATAGCTACAAAACAGTTAATTATTACCTTCATATTAGGCAAATGAAGCCTAGTAGGCTACAACTAGACTCCCATAATTTACAGCATTAGTTAAGAGATTTGATTTCCTTGAGAAAATGTGCCATTTATTGTAACTGATATCCAAAATAATCAATATTGAATCGAAATAGAATCGCAAGCTTGTGAATCGAAATCGAATCGAATTGTGAAATTTGAGTCAATACCCAGCCTTATAATTTACAAGTGTGCATTACCGCAAAGCCACTCGAAACTTCATTCCTAATTTCTCAAGCTCAGCCATCACACAGTCTGTTATGCAAGGAACACCTGTAACAACAAAAGTTACAACACATTACAAAAAAATGCATAAAAACATATTAGCTTGAAAAGTACAAATGTATGTGTTATTGGTTTAGTCTGATTGTGTTGGTCTGTAATTATGATTGACATCATATTTAATCAATAATTAATGCAGAAAATGTGATTCCAAAAGGGTTCACAAACATTTTCTTGCAACTGTTACCCATTCAAAGGATCATAATCAATCCCTTTGACTGACTGGGTTGTAATTTTTCCATCATGTTATATTTTTCACCTGACTATCGCCATCTGTAGTTAAAATTAAACTAAGACCCACTTCAGAACTATTCATATTATTCATTCAAGTTTAATTATTCATTCAAATTATGTTACAGATGAATGTACCTTTGAAAAAAGTTGTTAAATTCTATTGCCAATGTGTGCGTAGAACTTTATCTGTATATGTGTAATGTGTGTATATATAATGTTGTAAACTGTTTTCCTTTTTATGTGTGGCATGTGTTCAGTGTGTATGCTGTAAACTGTGTTGAACACTGTCATTTCTGTTCAATGTTGCTGCATAGCATTCCCTACAATCATCAACACACAAAATACATTCCTTCACTTCACATTAGCATTGTTGTAAATAAATCTGAGAAAAGAATGTGGGGACTTACATTTAGCATAAAGACAGTCCATCATTGACTGGACAACATCTAATTTGGCCTTAATAGAAAAGTTGATAAAGTTGGTATCAACAAGGATGTAATATGGAGGTCCAAGCTGGGTGTTGTATTGAAAGAACAGACAAGATGGATACTTTGCACTGAAAAAAAAAGGGTTGAGGCAAAGATTATTTCTCCTAACATACAATAACTAATGCAAACACTAAACATATTACTATAAATATCTCTATAGGCATTACAATGATTATTCATTTTATATGTTGCTACTAGCACACCCTGTATGTTTTTTCCCCTCAAAGAGCTCAATGCGCTCCCTCTAAATTCATATGAAATAAACATAAACCCAGAACTCGACATAATGCAAATATAGGAAACTCAAATGGGGTTTTGTCATTTCCTGACTTTAAATAATTTTATCAAACATTTCAAATAAGACTACTAAAACCTGGGTTAATCCTGACTCATGTGTTCCATACCGAGCTCTAGAAACGAATATAACTCATTCTGTTCACTCGGTGAGTTGCAAGTCTTTTTAAACTAAAGTTTAATGCGTTTTATGAATGATTGCTCCAGTGCACCCATAAAACCATTGTGGAGGTGTGTGTGTGTGTGTCAGGGGGGAACCGAAAATTCTCGGGCCAGCAGCTGTGTCCAAATTTCAATCTTAACCATTCTATTTCATCAGAAACAATCTTAAAACAGGGCTTTAAATGTAAAATACCAAACTTGTCCTTTAAAAGATCCCCTTTGCAAGTGTCTCAAAATGCAAGTGTCTCACCATAAAATGTGTTCTAAAAGAAGACGTGTTTTTATTTAAAGTTTTGCAAAATGTGCATTTATATCACAAATAACTTGGATGCATCTACTTATAGCTACATTTACTGGACAGTATTATTAAACTTACCTCTGGGTTAAAATACCTCTGGGAATTGGATTGATTACCTTCCCCTAAGTCCCTAAACCTAACTTTTCACTAACAGCTTGCCTACATTTGAAGAAAATTTTGAGTAGATACATTATTATGGTGTATATTGTGAGCCAATGTTGTTATGTCATGCCACTCAAATAAGCAGATTTCAATTTCATTTGCTGTATGGCAAACTCTAAAAGTAACAAAAACAATATTTGAGAGAACTCAAACTTACACTTCCTGTTCTTTAATGGCTGATGGATCTTCTTTCTTCTTCTTTTGTGTTTTTGCTCTGTCCTGTTTTTTTCTAGAAAAAAAAAAAACAAGAAAAGAGCAACACAGTGATGCACTAATCTACTGTTTTTACAGTATTTATAAGTTAAGGCCATTTTTAAGATTACACCGTTGTGCTGTTGAATCCTTGATTGTGATTGGTTTACAGACATTCTAAAAGGTATGCAATTAAGCACACACATTTTCTACTGCTCTCTCTGTCTCTCACATGCATAGACAGACAAAAAAGAGATATATATTCACTTTTGTCAGTGCTGCCCAGTTACTTTATCGATAAAAAAAAGTTAGCTTTGAAATTTTTGCAGAGATGCTGCATACTGCCCAACACTGATGACAGCTGCACAGATGCAGGTAATTCACACAAAATTAAAGTCAACATGAAATCCAATCTCTTCTCTGATCACGTGTATACTGAAAGTGGGCTGAGCAATAAATTTTTGGGTGAACCAACCCTTTAAATCAATGGCTGGAAAAAAAAAAATGCAGCCTCCACAAGTAGCATTAGAAGGTAGGAAGACATCCCAAATCTAACGCATCACATCCTGTCTACAGGAAAACATTCATCTGGCCAATTTTAGAAGGCAAAATAGAGGAATCCTTTGGTGCCTATGTTTTCCCACCACCCTACAACATGAGCAACAATTGTAATCTAGACATGGAGTTGCATATTGTGTGACATAATAAAACACATAGGAAGGCTATAGTTTGGTCAAATATTGCATTTTGGCTGTGGGGAACAGTCTGGAAGATGGACAACAATAAAACTCAGCCTTTAAGAAGCTGCTACTATTACATCCCTACCAGAAGCCTACGATCGATCAATGAGCAATGGCTCGTGGTACCATCACAAAGAGCCACAAAATCACTCTCTAGAACATTCTCATTCACGGTTCCATGCTGGTGGAATGATCTGCCTATCGTCATCCGGAATGCAGAATCCCTGACAGCATTTAAAACTAAAGACAATTGAAAACTCATCTCTTCCATGAGCACTTATAGCACATATATATATATAAACCTTACTTGCCTGGTTTATACTACTCTGAGCAATATTTGAACTTTGTATTTTGAGCACTTCTTGTGTTGTTGTTGCCTCTTCACGATGACTTGTTTGACTAAGTCCTCAGATGTAAGCCGCTTTGGATAAAAGCATCTGTTAAATGACTAAATGTAAAGGTATGTAAATATTAATCATGGTAATACTATTCATATGATGACTAAAATTAACCACGGGTCTGACATAAAATTAAAGTTTAATACAATACTTGGTGGTAGGATGTTTATCGCAAGATAGTAACAATTCACTAACAATTTATTATTTTGAAGAAACACATAGAAATAACATTGTCAATATTTCAGTTATTCCAATCATAGACAATATTTTGGGCGATTTACCCGTTTGAGGTGAACAGTGACTGAACACTGGTTAACTGAGGCGTTTCTCAACAGAGCTGTACTGAACGGCTGTTTATCATTTGTAATGAAAGTACTTTGCAATGATTTGCTAATACATTATATTCTCTTATTTGTAACACACTTGCTTATAGAAATAATAACACAAATATACTCACATCCTCTGATCCTTCAAACTGATCATTCTTTTCATGGTAGCATATTTTTTCTGTTTCTTCTGTTTTCCCTAATTCACACAAACAAAAGTTGTCATTCAACCAAAAAAGTAATAAAGCGATTATGTACATTATCTAACAAACGCTGTTGAACATTGTTTAGATAAACCCTTAATTTTACCATGACTGCTGAATAAGCTCGAGATATTCACTCTCTAACCCTCGTGTGTTACACTTTGCGACAACGCGTATTTCGACGTCATTATCATGCGACACAATCCACCTTTCTGATTTTACTTACGCTGCGCCATTTCCTACGTCATTTCTTGCGCTAGATACTGCGGTGTTTCCGGTTCTCAGTGACATCCATCAAGGTAAATATCTAGAAGACAATACTGCAGCTGTTCGCTTAATATGAATTGGTATATGAACTCATACAGTACGTCTAGTTTTGTTGTTTACTTTGTATGTCAGTACTGAGTGTTGGCTCTATGAATGACATTGTTTGATTATTATTTTGCGTCGCATATTTTCTGTTTATGCCACTGTGAGTGAGAGTTAAAGATATGTATGGTTGGATTGTTATTTCATTTGGCAACTCACTAGCAATTTCAAGGACGTTTTCTCTGTATTTAACTAGTTTGCACCAATGTAACGTTAGTACTGTATAATATTAAAGGCTAACAGGATATTTAACGTTTAAAGACTAAAATGACTTAACGGTGGAGCTTTAGTCATTTTTTAACAGAAGCCTGTCACTCGGTGAATGGATGCTAAGTTGTAAATGTATTCTTAAATTACTGATTAAACACATGCTCATCTCGAAAGTTGTAATATCTTTAAAACACCACACAAAATAATAATTATCCCTTTAAATCTTTTAGTTGAGTTGCAGCATGCTTTTTTTCAAAAGTCTCTAGATCACTTTCCTGTTTACTCCTAACACTTCACTGCTTTCAGAAAGTATTCAGACCTGTGATACCAGTATTCAGATGTAATAACGTTGCACATTTATTAAAAATAAACACTGAAAAGGCATACCAGAACAAAAACTATGCCATGAGGTCAAATGAACTGCCTGCAGAGCTCATAGGCAGAATTGTGTCTAGGCACAGATCTGTAGAACGATCTGTGCCATTGTTTTTTTTTTTTTTTTGTTTTGTTTTTTTGTTTGAAAACAGTTTGAAACAACCAGGACACTTCCTAGAGCTGGTTGCCCTGCCAAATCTTAGGAAGATAAGTTACTGAGAACCATATGGTCATATGTGGAGATGGGATAAACTTTCAGAAGGGCAACCATCATTGCAACACTTCACCAATCTGAAGAAAAACGGAACATAGCAAAATACAGAAATATCTTTAAAGTGATGGTTCACCCAAAAATGAAAATTTCATCATTTACTCACCCTCATATTGTTCCAAAACTCTAAGATGATGTTAGGAGAAATGTCTGGGTTTTTTTGTCCATACAATTGTCAATGGACTCCAATGTTGTTTGGTTCCCAACGTTCTTCAAAATGTTATTTTTTTGTGTTCCACAGAAAATCCCTAAATCCAGGTGTGCAGAGCTTGTCACATACCCAAAAAAGACTTGAGGCTTTAATCGTTGTCAAAGGTGCTTCCACTTAGTACTGACTTAGGAGTGTTATTTATATATGTGTTTATACATTTGTGTTTATATGTGTTTATACATTTGCAAAGTTATAAGAAATTAGTTTTTTTGCTTTGTCTTCTTGGCGTATGGAGTAGGCCTATACATTGATGTGAATACACAATATTTAAAGCATTTTAGCAGAAGTTTGCTGTATAACTAAATATGTAGGGAAAAAATCAAATGGTTCCAATACTTTCTGAATGCTCTGCGCATGTATGTACATTTCACTCAAATATCGTTCACACAGCTTGAATTGTATGTATCCTGTCCTTTTTCTCAGTAGGAGAAGACATGGGAGAGGTGGTCAGGACCAGATAGGACAGCAGAAGTCAAGGCAGACTCTGAGCTCACAGAGGTCTGAGCGGAGGCTGAACATGGTCTGATGGACCGCCTCTTTTTGCTGACCTTCTTCTTCTGTTCAGTCTTGTGGGTTTTGTTCTGGGAGTTGCGCTGGAAGAAAGGCAAGGAAAGTCAGATTGAAGAATGGCTCCAGGGACACAGCCTATCCGAATACAAGTGTTTGTTTGAAGGTTGGTTAAATGCTTTAAAAACAAAACCTTTTTGTTCTTGAGAGCATGTGGGCGATTATATATTATTTCCTGGTCATATTTCAAGTCAAGTCAAATTTATTACACTATACACATTGTTTCAAAGCAGCATTACAGAAATGCATATTAGCCGCGTTTCCACTGCCGGGCTAGGGCTGGGCCAGAGCTAACAGCGAGCCGGGCCGAGCTAGTGGCCTCGGGCCTCAAGCACCGGGCTTGCGTTTCCACTGCCGGGCCAGTAGCCCCACAGCGCTGCCCCAGACCCCACCCCTAACACGCCTTTCAGGATCAAACGTCATAAAACCCAACCCATTTCAGCGGGTATTATGAATTAATTTATTTTTTAAATTAGGAAGATAGCATGTATATTAACTCAACTGCCGTAGTGGCTGCAATAGTCCCGAGACCAGTACAGGCGATTCTCCATTTCAAGCAGCGATTTTTTGCGCGATATAACAAGTAGGGCTGCGGGCACGTTTTCAAGTTATTCATTAATCGTTAACCGAGGCCCATCGGTTAATACTCGGTGCATAGTGTGCGCGCCGCAACCTCGAGATACAGATTTTTTAACACCTTTAATAACTGATTGGACCCCATTTGAAACGAAATTAATTTATAGAAATAAAACGCAGCAAGTACGGAGCAGTTAAAGCCGCATTTCCATCACCCTTCAAACTGAAATTGCCAATTGAAAATAAGCAAAACGTCCATTTCACAAAAACTCCGTGTCTGCAAATAATAATAATAATAACCATCATCATCATTATTGTAACATTTTATTAGGCTGCATATGTAGAAGACGCCTTTATCCAAAAAAGGAACAGAGCACAAATAAACACAATATTTTTGACAAATATCGCATCCAGTGTGTGTGGAGCACGCACTGATGGCTGCGAGATGCCCATGTGAACAGTTTCATTGCATTTCTTTCAGTGGAAACAACTTAAAATACTCTTTAATTTCTGGTCATACAGAAAATAATAATACATTATTCGCAAATAAATTTATTTATAACAAGAAAACGTTGTGCTTTAACAATTAATCAAGACGCGCTTCATGATCTCCGTGAACTGAAGCGCGAGACCTGAAACAGCCACCGCATTCGAATTTGTTCGTTTTAAATTGGACATTTAAAGCTTTAGTCTACAGGGGTTATATCCTTTGTAGATTAAAGCTTTAAATGTCCAATTTAAAAAGAACAAATTCGAATCGAAAGCCAATATCTTCTATGTTTATGTAGCTTAATTTCTCTCTAAATGTGCATCCGGAGATGGAGATATGTTTTTAGCCGAAAATCATTTAGAAAACAATAGTTTATTAATAAACAATTAATGCCTCGTTATTTTATATTATTTTATTATCAGACACATTTATTATAGCCTATAAATCACCCATAAATCCCCTTTCTGTACGGCTCTTCTCATTCAGCACTGCGGGGAAAATATCATTTCCAGGTTCTAATTTGGCCTCAGAAAACCAGTAAAATATATATTTTTTTCATATTAATTTGTCAAATATTTTAAATGTTTAAGGGGCAAAAAAATCAAACAAATATCTGAAAATTCGTCGATATGTAGCTATATATATAGCCTATATATTGTTGCGCAGCATTTGGCATAGGCCTACAGTTCAAATTAAAATGTTATGCAATTTTAAACGGTTAATCGGTTAAACATGGACACCCCTATGTGCATCTTGCTTCAGATCATAACGTTCCATAACACCGATAAACTCCGCCTTTTACCTTGAGCACGCCTCTAGCCCGAGCTGGCCCCCTCTGGCCCAAGGTATTCGACGGGCCAGAAATCCTGGCCGTTGGCCCTGAGGAAGCCCCGATCAAGCCCCGGAAGTGACAGTGGAAACGCGACTGGCCCTGGCACGCACTAGCACGGCCCGGCCCTGGCCCGGCAGTGGAAACGCGGCTATTGTTATTATGTCTATGATGCCTTAGTGCTTTACCACATTTTAGGACTGGTCGATGATGATGTGTAACGATAACATTAAGTGATCCTCCAGATTAAGATCAAGCCATATTATGTTTTTAGTGTTTTCTAGCACATATGTCAGTAACACAGTGACTCGTGCACGTCTAAACTTTTAATTTATTTATTTATTTTTACAATGAAGAGATTTAAAGGCATAGTTCAACCAAAAATGAAAATTAGCCCATGTTTTACTCACACTCAAGTCATCCTTGGTGTATATCACGTTCTTGTTTCAGACGAATACAATCTGAATAATATCTCACAAATTATATCGGGAGACATTTGAAGTGGGTCAGACATGATTTTGACCACTTAATTAAGTTTTACATTGTAGAAAGCCTTTCTTTAAAGTGAACTTTGTTTTGTATAAATGGTATCTTAATTTTAATCAATGTTTAATCAACCAATTTCCTGGATTTAATAGATTAGAAGCAAATATAGCAGACAATATAATCAGGAGACTGAGGTGTCGATGCAATTTCATTGCAAGTGAACTGGGGCTTTTCTCATAAATTAACCGAATCTATAGGCCATTATTGCCTCACAGATAGGGTTGGGTATCGGTTGGGTTTTATCCGATACCAGTACCTACTCGGTATTTTTTAAACGGTTCCGGTGCCTAAACGGTTCTTGAAACGGTACTTAAGAAAACGAAACCGCACACACTTTGTCAAAAAAATAATACCCCTTTATTTACAGGGCCAAACTGGACACAATATTAACTTACAATATAAATACAAGTAACATATGGTAAATGAACCAATATAAAATAAAAGTTCATATTTACATAATATCAAATAAAACAATATTATATTAAACAATGTAATTATACTGGAGATTAATAGAGATTACTACCAGGGTAATATATCGACATGGCTACAGGTTTCCATGTTTTGTCTGCTTTGTATTGTAAAAAAAGCGCTATATAAATAAATGTGACTTGACTTGACTTAACTAGTCATGTAGGCTAAGTTATCTTGTCATTTACTAGTTAAGCTCTTAGCCAGTTTGATATTTCGTTCCCACTGCGTCTTATACGCAGCTTTGAGTATATGAAAGAGAACGTCTGTGTTCTCTGAATAGGGAACGCGACGCCGCGTTCGCTGCTAAATATCTCGCGCTGCCGACAAGCTTCCTTTTTCGGCAGAGAACTCTGAGGAGCAGATGATGCGGGCGCTAATATAATATGACGACGTGAGCGTCAACGCGGCGCGAATGGTGATTCTTCTATATCCATAGACAAACGTTATTCTGATGCGTAATTTTACATGTGAAATGCAGCCAAACATTTCACGTGTAAATTTCACGTGTGTTTAATCTCCTCACTATCAGCAGACGTTCGGGGAGTCTCCCGCATAACGGCTCCCGGATGATCGCAAATTAGTTCAAATCTCCCGGAATCTAGAACGAGCGAGCAAGAGCAAGACAGATCAGACAGTCCTTCAATAAACCTTATAGTGCGCACCCGTCGGAGAGGGAGAGGGAGACAGCGAGAGACTGCGTGTGTGCGCCTCATGCCACAGACTCAGGTATCGAAATCAGGCACCGAAATGATCATTCTAATTCGGTCTCGTTACTACCGTTTACGTCAGAACCGGTTCCCTATTGGTACCGAGTCTCGGTACCCAACCCTACTCACAGACCTTAAAAATATATAGAAAGCTTAAAATGTGTACTTTTAAACAAAACAATTCAAATCGAAAAGAAATGGGCCACTCTCTGCTTATGTAAGCTAATTCGTAGGAAGCGTGCATTTCTCTCTGTAGGCGCTAGGGGTGGAACAGTACACAGAAGTCACAGTTCTCTTCATACCTCGGTTCAGACATGAGTTCGGTATGAGTTCGGTACAATGGAGGGAAACTGTAGCGATGCTACAGTGTCAAATAATATTTAATCACATTAAATGACACAAAAAAATAAATCTACACAACTTGATAATATTTATTAAAATTCGTACAAACAAAAACCTAAGTATAGTAACGAAAAACGTGGGGTTTGGTGATAAAAGAAAGGAAAAGAAAAGAGGAAGTAGAGAAACGGAAGGAGGAAGGCCGGTCGGGAAGTTGGGATTAGCGTCTGAGAAAGTTGAAGGAAATCGAGGCCGTTGTTTCAGCGTGTTGTGAAGATTCCCTGTTGGATTTTTGTTCATGTGGATGATCCGAATTCTTGCACTGCAAAGACGGGAAGGGACGCGCATAGACGGGGATAACTGCGCGAGCTGAAACCTGAAGTCACCCGAAAGAAACCAAAGCCAAAGAGGATTCTGACAGTGAAGTTGAAGACCTGTGAGTGTTGTTCTTTCACTTCGACGACCTGAGACACCTATCCTAGAGGTAAAGAAACATTTGCTTTCCCGTGCCTTCCCTGTGAGGCTACTGGTCTCAATAAAACTTACAATTACCAAACGCCCACACTTTCATCAGAAGAACAATTACTAACACTCCTTACCGCCTTCCATTAACGGCGTTTGAACAAATTTCGTTTCCATTAGATATTTACTATATTTTGAACTGTTTTGGGATTACTTTTGTTGTAGTTTTTTGACTCTTTGTGAACTTTCTAAGTCTGAGCGCAACCACGCCGATAAATCAGAGTAACGAACTGATTCATTATTTTTGTGATTTTTGTTGTTGCTTTTTGAGAACTTACTGCTGGACACTGTATGATTTAAATATTATTTTTTTGTGTTGTTGGTGAAAATTATACGAATGGACTTAATGATTTAGACTCTTGTGATGGATTTTCGGTGTTTTCCGTGATCGGAAAATAATTTTTTTGTCAGTTTATTTAAACTGTCTGGCGCCCAATATGAACATTTAAAAGTTTAATAAAACCACGTAACACACCGTTACAGAGTGGCGCTCAACGTGGGGCCGAACATGGACAATAGATGAACTTTTCCGAACTTTAAATTTAAAGGGACAATGAGACTGGACTATGTGGTGTTGAAATATTGAACCAACTTGGGATATGGACATTAAGAAATTGCCTGTCTTT